CTGTATTACCTGAATTAATATACACAGTGGGTGATTCAGTAAAAGGCTTTAAAAAGAAATTCTTTATAGAAAAATCCCACCGAATTGATGTCTTCATAATTGATGAAGAGTAGACCCATAATTGCTCTATTTTCTCCTCAGTTTTGGAAAATAAAAGATTCCATTAGTTTAAATGAGGCTTGTATGTGGAACAATCAAGGGTATCAACAAATGACTCAGATGCTATTTAAGAATAAGAATAAATGTCAGAAAGAATTGACTATTTCTTTAAAAAATTAAATGTAAATATTTTATTGACAAGCTCAGGTAAGTGTATTTTTTAGAGTTGATAGACAACACATAAATTATAAAACTCAGTTGTGAAAACTCAAAATGTAGTAAGTGGGTGGTTATTGTGCATTGGCTCCTGTTTGTGATCACAAAGTCCTCTTAGACTATAAAGACAATGTTATTTGGAACCGGGGTGTGTTTGGAGAATTTATGGGCACTCAGGATAGTTGGTGACTTTGTAGATATGACATGGAGTTGTTTATTTTTATATAGAAAAGTGCCCTAGCAGTGCTGTCTTAGGTGCTTCTCATACTGGCTGGAGAAGGCACTGAGCCCAGATGGAAAGAATTATGGTTAAAAAAAATGTGTTCATTTATTTGTTTCCCCCAAGAAGTTGAAACACCCCCAGGAAGTTGACTGTGGGTGATATTTTATCTCTTCTAGCTTCAGGAAGTGAAAACATAGAAGAGAGAATTGGGGACCCCGCTGAGGTGTCTATTTCCAGGCATTGTTCAGTAATTGGGTCACATATTTTCCTCTAATATCAGACTTTGCTTTCCACTTGTGGGTGGCATAAAAAAAAGAAAAAAAGCTTTCTGAACACTTAAGGTCTTGATCTAAACTCCAAAACGGGGAAGAGTAAATAAGTAATATAATGTAAGTTTAGGAATAATTTTACCTGAGAAATATTTTTTTTCTTTAGAATATATAAAAAAAATAACTTTAGTCAGTAGTTTTACTCTACTTTGACAAGACATAAGAGAAATTTAATACAATTCTTCACAGGTACATTATATGGGTGGTTTTTGTCTTTATGGTGGTTTTAGGTCTTTTCAAAAAAAAAGTCTAAACTTGATTTACTTACATCAGTGGCTGACTTTGCAGGGCAGGGAGGATACAGCACCAGTCATGCAGAAAGTCCCTGTTTGTCATCGTGAGAGTTCAGACATGAATTAGAACCAATGGCCCATTAAATACCTTCTCTTGTTGTTTAAAGCATATTCTAGCTTTGTGAAATAATTTTTAATGCAGAATCTTGTAACTGAGCCAAGGACTGAAATTCCTGTAGCTCCAGCCAGAGTAGAGGCTGAACTAGCAAGTTGTGTTCTATGGTTTTGTGATTCTGGACCATTGGAAAGTCTCGCCTAGAGAGTAATTAGGAATAGGGAAGTCAAGAAACAGCATACTTTGCTTTTTGGCATATGTGTGCGTGTGTGTGTGTGTGTGTGTGTGTGTGTGTGTGTGTGTGATTTTTCCATGTATAGTAGTATTGTAATACTTTCTGAATAATAAAATTATTTTTTTAAGAAAAATGTTGCTTGCTAAAGTAGTCACAAATGTTTTCTACAGGAAAGCATTTCACTTTTTTGGCCATTAAAAGACTGATAGTGATCTTTTGCATATACTGAATTTTATGAAGAAGAAATCCTCGTAACAGTGATACAGTAGGACAACATGGACACCATAGGTTAAGAGTCCCATTGTGAGACAGAATTCACTATGAGATACAGTAATTTTCAATTTCCTCTTTAAGAGACAGAGCTAAATTTTAATTTAGAAGGTACTTATGGAAAAATTTCAGGAGTGGCTTTAGAAACAAAAGAAGGATTTTTGTCTTAAGGGTTTATGTGCCTGATGTGAGATGGTTATCAATGTTCTAAATTCTTTTTCTTCCTCTGGTTTTTACTTCTTCCATATTGTATTGATGGGTGCTTTGTATGGGGAAAAATGTTTCAGCAGATATTCCCTTTTTTCTCTCTTTTTGTTTTCTTCTCTAAGATCCATATAATTTTGCAAATGTTTACTTGCCTGAATAGTCCAAACCTAGCAAACATCACTGTAGTTAATGGGTACGGTTATAGGTACCTTTAAACATTGTCTACTGAACACACTGTTCAAATATATTATTGTACTGGTTATTTTCCTAAAAGAGAAACTCTTGGGATGAAATAGAGCTCTAAAGAGAGGCTGTATGTATGTCCTGGGGGTAGGGGAAGGTGGAAGGAGGAAGAATTTTGGGGAGAGTGGGCTTGTATATACAAGGTGTTAAAACTAGTTCAAAGAGCATTTGAAAAGCTAGATATCTGTAGGCAACTTATAAAGGAACATTAGGATAAGAATGTCAGTTTAGATACAAAACTAATTAATGTTGAACATGGCAATAAGCTGTAACTTTAGGGTTATCTTTTCCACTGGACAGAAATTATTTGCATCTCTGCTCAATAAAAATCTACAAGTTAAAATAAAATGAGGCAACAGACAGTTTGTCATACTAAATAAACCATGAAAAGATTTGAACCTATGGGTAATTGTATGATTAAATACAGTGAGAATATAGTTAATAAAATTCCAAACATTAAAAATAACATTATAAATGCAAATTATCCTTTTAGCAAATAACGTTACCTTCCAAGTTTCTTAGTGGAAGATTTTGACAGTCTAAGTAGTAGCGTTTTAAGCTGGGATTTGGGACAGAACCTTAACCCCCTTTCCACTTCTTATCTACCTCAGAGAATGCCAAGGACTGGAGACAGTTTTATGTAGCAGATAACAGCAAAAAAGTGATTGTAAGAAAAGCTAGTATTAAATGAGCACTTTCTCTATGCCAGCCAGTGTTATCAGCACTCTAGGTGAACCCCACAACCTTATGAGGTAGAGCCTGTTACCATCATTTTATAGGTTTACAAGTAGATGTACACAACTTTAAATAAATATCATCTAAATCAATATAAAAATAGGTTTATATCATTATAGATGGTGAAATGACACAAAGAGCACATAAGACTTAATCAAATATACCCTGGTTGAACTGAGATTTGAGCCATGGAAGTTTATTGCCACAATATATTCTTTTAATGACTACATTGCATTGCCCTGGAGATCAAATACTTGGATCCCCAAAGACGTGAAGGTTGATTGAACAAGACGACTTGATATATGTAGCTTTTCTATTTTAGAGGCTGCATGCTATATTAGTTAAGCACTGCACCAAACTCAAAAATCCCATATTCAAGTCCCTATTGGAAGTTTCACAAATTATATGATTTTGATCAAGTTAATGATCTTTTAGAACATACTTTCTTCATCTGCAAAATAGTAAGAGACACTTTCAACCCTAGCTCTCTTCGATTTTGTTTACTGTAGGGTTATCATTGTAATGAGGCAGGAAGGGCAGGTGTACTAAAGATGCAAGTAGCTGAAGCGTCAGGTTTATGCTGGTGAAATCTACCCAGTTCAGCTTTGGACAGCTCCAGCCCAGTTCGACTGACTTAAGAAGGGCGGAGCTTATAGGTGGGAATCATCTCAGACTCCTTCCACTGATCTCATACAATTATTCCTGTTTCTGTTGTGACCTACCAATAGCTCAGCTCCTACTGGAATGATTTTCAAGGCTGTAGGTGATATTAATATAATGATAGCTATTCCATTGGGGGAAAAAAAGAGGCAAAGGCATTTCTAGCACTATGCTATTTTCAACACTAGAATTTTAATAAATGACCACTCCAAGAATTTAATGCTCCAAAGAATTAGTGGTATAGTACAAGGTGATTACAAATGGAAAAGAAACATTGGTGGTAGGGAACCTAGTTCATTAATACACAGAATGTTTAATATTTATCCTCCTAGTTCATTAATACACAGAATGTTTAATATTTATCTTATGTTCTTATACTTCCTTAGGAACATAGAATTAAAGGAAAACTTGCCAAATATTTTGTGACCATAGCTGAAATCTTGAACATAAGATGAGTTGTTAATAAACTTGGTAGTTAAGTTTGCTTTATAACTTCTCCATGTACTTATGTTGATCTAGAAGCATGCTTCATGGAATCCTAAAGAAGGACAGGGTCTTAGGACTTATCTTCTTCAGTCCTATCATTTATACCTCATAAATAGGCTCAACAAAATTGTTTCATTCTCCATATGACCCATCTTTGAAAAAAAAACCTAGACTAGGTCTTCTGCAAGAGATGATAAAATAATTAAAACATTTATGATGTAAATATATAGATATATTATGGTAGAAATTTTATTGTAGAGGAAGCACCGTGGATAACCTATATCATTGATTATTTACAGCAAAATTTTATTTAGCTTCTATTACCGGTGGTGTTAGGTGTGGAGAATACAAAACTCAGTCCTTATCCTCAATTAACTTACAGTATAACTAATACCTTTTTAGTAGCAAAAACAAAGTCATATTTATCCTACAACCTGCTAGGAAATCGCAACATTTCAATTTAACCCTCTCCCAAATCATGAAAAGTGATTGTTCCAATTTTCATTTTTACAAATGAGAAAACGGGCTTGGATAAGTTGTGCTGAACTGTTCAGAGTTACAGCGCTAGGTAAGCGCCCGAGCTAGACACAGGCCCTGATCAGCCTGGCTCCAAGGCCTGTGCATTTTTCCATGAATCCACAGAGTGTGATTTACTTTGATCACAATCACACACAATCCCCTCTTAGCCACCTATGACAGCCTGACGGGTTTATTTTCGAAGGCTCAACCCAGTGATTATGTAGGGTAGGAAGCCCATTCTCTAGTTATAAAGAGGAGCTGGTGAAAAGAGGTCATCCAGCTGTGAAATGGGGATTCAGAGCTTGTTTTCTTGGTTTATTCCTGCTCAATTGTGTGTGCACCGATGTTTATTACGGTGTTTTAAGTGTCTTCATTGGGCTACAATAACATGGATTTTTTTCTTTTTTTCCTCTCTCTCTCTGTCTTTCAGGTATGGAAAAATCGTATCCACAAAGGCAATCCTTGACAAAAACACAAATCAATGCAAAGGTATGTGTCAGGGCCTTGATACCTGAGCTTGCGCCTGTGTGTTCCACTGATGGCTCCTCCTAGGCGAGGCCCAGGCACCAGCTGCACAGCGATCCCAATGTACAGTATATGGCAACCTTTTTAAGCACGCCAAGGCTTTGATGAGTTGTATTTCTAGCAACATTGCTCATTAATTTTTTTTCATTAACGAACAAAATGAAAATCACAAATCAGAACAAGTATCAAATTGCTTCAGCATAAAACTAAATTACCTCCTAACAACTTTGGGTTGTCTGATTTGAATGATATCATCAGTGATGCAAATTGATTTCCTACATAAAAATGAGGAACTCTGGGGAGAACTTTCCCATGCAAAACATGTTCTCATTTATCTGTTGTTTAAAGCTTTAGCTACATTGGTTGACTAGGAATGAATTTACTGATGGGCCCATTGTGTCTCAGTTTCAGCTGTAAGCATCTCACAGATCTCAGAATTTGTATCTTATCGAGGCTTCCTTTTTTTTCCTGGAAATATTTCTGAAGTTATTTGGCTATATCTGTGGCTCATGTTTTTTTCATGTCTGGGAATCCAGTACTCTTTTAAGGGCTGCATTCATTTATTTGTGAAATCTATATGGGCTCTCTTGCATGACTGAGTTCATACTGGAAAATTGAAATCCTTTTTGTAACATGTGTTATTTGTTGTTTCTCTAATCCAGTCGTTTTTATAATACCAACATCAAGAAATATGGTAGAGCCAAGATCATTCTAAACACTGCCCCTATTTCATGTACAAATATAATGCGTGCATGTTTTCGGAACACTTATACACTGAGAGTATATCCTGGCTTAATTGGGTAATGGTCAGATTCAATTCAGCAATTAAGGAAAAAAACAACATTCCCTGTGTCCTGTAAACTCACAATTCCCCCAGGTATTTAGCTACTACAAGACAAAAATTAATAAGACATCATTTCTATCATCTAATAGTTCAATTTCTAGTTGAAAAGGAAACCACCAAGAAAACCAAGAAACTAATCTTAATATATGTGTTAGGATCAGTATATCAGCCTAATATATGTGAGAGTGTAACAGTGGTGTCTATAATACAGGGATCCACAAAATACTATGGGAGGAGAATATGGAGATTCCCTTTTGGGGAATGAAGTTTGTAAAGGCAAGGCAGAATGGATGGCCTTGGGAAAGGTTGGTGTTCAGGAAAAAGAATTTCAGAATGTAATTGAGCAGACCCATATAACTAGAATAGAAAAAATGCCCAGGTAAGGATATCGGTAGAAAGAAGGAAGGGGCCAAGATTTTGGAGGCATTTATAAAGTTATCCTGGATATTTTGAACTTAATTCTGTACACAGCCCTTATATGTTTTTTTGAGGAGAAATGCTATGATTCTACCTGTGTTTTAGAAAAGTTATTTTGCCAAAGTGGGTGAAACTGAGTTACAGGGGGGAAGAAACTAGAGGCAGAAAAAAAAGCAATGTACATTTGAAATCCATAGATCACAAGGAAAATGAGGAAAGTCCCTCAGGCACTGTTAGAAAAATGGAAAGGGGGTCACGTGAGTTTTCAAAGGTAGAATTAGATATTTTCTATAAAGATGAAAGGATGCGGGCAATGAAACCCACATGTTGAGCTGTCATTGTTGGGGAAGAGGGCTGTGTCATTGACTGAAGCAGGAAGTCCAGAAGTAGTAGTGGTGGGTTTTGGGGAGAGGTGGTGAGTTATGTATCTGACATCCTGAGCTAGAGGCCCTGGTGTAGCATCCCTGTGGGCAAGGTCAAGGCAGAGCTACAAGAAAGCTCAGAGCTACGATGATGGCCATAACCAAGGGAGCAGATAAAAACACTAAGGATAACTTGTAGGGGAGCTGGTGGAGTGGGGTCCATTAGGGTAGGCAGCTGAAAACTGAACCTTGGAGGACATATACTAACAACATTGGGCCATGACTGTGAGATATTCTTCACTCTCAGCCCGTGGGAAGCATGTGGTGTGTAAGAAGCTTTAGACTATTAATTCTGTCACTTCCAGACATGCCTGACCGATTCCTAAAGTTTGGGGTAAAAATATCTACAGGAGCAACCAGAGACATCTGAGGCACGCAACTCAGGCAGTCAGTAATATTGATTGAGCCCCAGTCACAAAGGCAGATGCTTCACAGACAAATAAGCCCTGTGAACCTCAGTGGATCCCATGACCTGCCTGATCCTTGGAGTGGTCCATATGGAGGGACCCTCCACTAGGCAAAGGTTTGCTCGGGAATGCAAGTATCTCTTGTCACTGTACAACACTGGTGAAACCAAAAGGGTCCATTGCTAACCTGGAAAAGCTGTATCCTAGACTATAATCATAAGGTTTGAAGAGGAAGGGGATGTAGCTGAAACGGCTTGTCAGAGTTTCTATAAGCAATTATCTCTTAACAGTGGGGTGCTGATCTGGACAGATGTGGTGGGTATACTTACCTCAACCCCTAACACTCCTGTCCACATCTTCTTGTAGCTGCTTATTTAATTTCCTCTCTCTCTCCAAAGAAACCTTTAAACTCAGTGAAGACAGGACCTGTGTAATCTAGAAAATGTATCTTCAGAGAAGGGAGTTGCAGGGGAATGCTTGACTGTCTATTGGAAATACTCGAAGAAAATATTAGAACATATCTCTGTTTTGATGTCAAGTTTCTGTGTGTTTTATGTGTGTGTTTTATAATGTGCCTGTTGGTATAGTTTTATAAATGCTCATGTTTTAAACACATAAATGTATAAATATTGAGTTTGCTGCTCTAAGATATTTTTATTCATAATAATATGGATGTAAAAAGTAATTTGGAGACTACTGGTCTCAAACGTAATAAGCACTGATAAATTTGGAAGGAGAAAGTGGAGGGAGGGAAGGAGGGAAGAAAGATAAGGAGAAATAAAGGGAGGGAGGGACCACAGAGCCCTCTCGGGACATCACTGAAGGAAAGGCAGTTAAGGATGATCTTATGGGAGGGCAGAGGGCTGCTAGACTTTTTGCCTTGAGGCTCATGTCAAAGAGGCAGGTGATCACACGGTCATTTCACACTAATAAAAGCCTCCAGTGGCATTTTCTGGCCTCAGCGTTTGGAGCCCGTGGATGGCAGTGGTGACTGAATCACATCTTTCACCAAGCACATGGGGCGGGTACCCTAAAAGTTAGCCCTCGTCGTCAGAGAGATACTACTGCCACTTCCATGTCTGGGGAAAAATGCTACTTTAATGATACTTTAAGTCCTATTTAGAGTATTGTTATTTTCTTCAGAAAAACGGCCCCTGAAGTAGTTATAGGTAGAAACTCCATACAGTTGGGAAGAGAGAGCAATTCCATTTATGGAAAGTTGTTTATAGTCATTGATGAGTTGAAAGAAGTTCAACTCCAAGAAGTTGAACTCAACCAAGTTGCCGAGGTTGGAAAGAAGGTCACTGTGAATTCAAGGAGCTGATGGGACCAGGCACCAGAGCAGCATTGAAGTGTTGTTTTGAATAGCCAAGAATTGGAGCAGGGGCAGTACTGGAGAAATGGACTGATGCAGAAGGCATTTGTGGGGAAATAGCAGGAATGATACCGGGAGTCTGTAGACCATGGTGAAAATGAAGGTGCATTGGTTATAAAATGTTGTGAGGTGAGGTTTACATTGGAGAGTTTAGGTAGGAGGGAAGCCATATGGAGTTAGGAGCAAGGAGGACTCCCCACTTACACATCCAGTGGGAGAAGGGATGGTAGGGGGAAAAACACACTTGGGAGGGCTACAAAGGCCCAGTGTCCCCAGAATAAATCAGTTAATGATTGGAAACGTGCAAATGGAAGCAACTTGCAGTGATAGTTTATATCCACTCAGGATGCAGACGTAACATGTGGGCCTTCCAAGGCTGGTTACTGTGAAACTAATTCACCCCTTCTTCATTAGGACCATGCTAATTTGGTAGAGCCTTTTAAAAGTCAATATGGGGTCCTGTACGAACTCTCCCGCACCCCCCCTCCCCGGGGAAAATGCTTGCCGGGGTTTGTCTGTTTTCACGTCTGGTGTGGCTGGACATAACAAGATGCAGTTTCTTGGAGGAAATCGGAGGAAACTGAGGTTGGCAGATGACCAGAGGAATGCTTGCTACCCACATAGCCTTCTGTTTTACTTGCAGCCGCCTTCTGGAAACATATCTTTGATAGAATTTGAAAACTTGGCTGCCGATAGAGTTAAATTGCTGAAAGCAGTTAAGAGTCTTGGTGTGAGCTATGTGAAAGGAACCGAGCAGTACCAGAGAAAGCTGGAGGCTGAGCTTCGGAAGCTTAAGTTTTCCTACAGAGAAAACTTGGAAGATGAATATGAACCCCGAAGAAGAGATCACGTTTCTCACTTTATTTTACACCTTGCTTACTGCCAGTCTGAAGAGCTTAGGCGCTGGTTCATTCAACAAGAAATGAATCTCCTTCTATTTCAATTCAGTATTTTACCCAAGGACAAAATTCAGAGTTTCTTAAAGGATAGCCATTTGCAGTTGGAGGCTATAAGTGATGAAGAGAAGACTCTCCGAGAACAGGATATTGTGGCTTCATCACACCGTTTAGGTGGGGTTCAGTTGCAGTCAGTTTATGAGAGCCCTTTTGCTGATGCTCTGGATTTGTTCCGAGGAAGGAAAGTCTATTTGGAAAATGGCTTTGCTTATGTACAACTCAAGGACATTGCGGCGATCATCCTGAATGAATTTAAAACCAAACTGTCCAAGGTTTTGGCTTTAACAGCCAGGTCCTTGCCTGCTGTGCAGTCAGGTGAGAGACTCCAGCCACTGCTCAGCCACCTCAGTCATTCGTACACTGGTCAAGACTACAGTACACAGACAAATGTTGGGAAGGTTTCTTTAGATCAGATCGATTCGCTTTCTACCAAATCCTTCCCACCTTGCATAGATCAGCTACATAAAGCCCTGCGGGAAAATCACCATCTTCGTCATGGGGGCCTCACGCAGTACGGCCTCTTCCTGAAGGACATTGGCCTAACCTTGGAACAGGCGTGGCAGCTCTGGAAGCAGACATTTATCACAGGAAAGATGGATCCAGATAAATCTGATAAAGGCTACTCTTACAATATCTGTCATAGCTTTGGAAAGGAAGGCAAGAGGACAGACTACACACTTTACAGTTGCCTGAAGATTATCCTAACCAATCCACCAAGCCAAGGGGATTATCATGGGTGCCCTTTCTGGCACAGTGATCCTCAACTGCTGAGGCAGAAGATGCAAGTGTACAAGATCCCTCCCTCAGGGATCAACCAGATTTTGGATTTAGTAAAAGGGACACATTACCAGGTAGCCTGTCAGAAGTTCTTCAAGATGACACATAATGTAGATAGATGATTGTGGCTTTTCTTTGAGTCATCCAAACCAGTTCTTTTTTGAGAGCCATTGGATCCTCAGTGGAGGTAAAGACATCAAGAAGGAATCCGTCCAACCAGAAATGCCCCAACCGAGTGTCCAGAGAAGCAAGGATGCGTCATCTGCTCTGGCCTCACTCAACTCCTCTCTGGAAATGGATCTGGAGGGACTAGAGGATTTACTTCAGTGAACAATCCCTGGGCAGTTGGTAGCCCGTCTTCCTCACTAGCTTTTATTTCCTACTTTACGATTTTATCTTTTTCTTTTTTGTCTGCCTTCTCCCTCCACCCAACCCCCCTTCATCCATCCACATATGCATGAGCTTCTCGGGAAAGGCAGCCTTGCAGGTAAAAACAAAGACCTCCGGTATATTTTGCTTTGACAAAAGAGAAGAGGAAGAATTTCTTTCGAAATCTAACGCTTGAATGGTGTGATTTAAGTCCCGTTTTAGGAGATAAAACAGCTTTCTGGATTGGTTACTGTCCCCTAGAAACAGTATAACTAAGAACAACTTTTATTTTAATGCTTATCACTGTAATGTTGACCCAGGACTTTTCTGGACCATTTTTGTTAATAAATATCAAAATGTAAAAGAAAGAAAAAGTCATTATGAAAAGAGCAATCGGGAATGTACTATGATGCTACTAATTCTACTGAGAGATTTTATTCAGACATATTTTTAAAGTGTTTTATATGCTCACGCTTAGCACCACTTTATTCTCTATATGGGTAGCACTGTTATACAGCCATTACCATGATAGTCGAGAGGACTAAACTACGACAAACCATGGAATTGTTTATTAGAGGAAGTTCAGTGAGTATGGAAGAATATAAAATCATGTGTACCATAAACATGGAGCTATGGAAATATTTGACAGTCAGTAGTGCTCATCGTTATGTCTGTGGGTGGCCAGGATGCTTGGTGCAAACACTGCCTTTCCACTTCATAGATGTGTGACCTGTGGTCAATCCCTTAACTTTGCTGGGTGCCTCAGTTTCCCCATCTATAAAATGATAATAATAGGGCCTGACTTGATAATTAAATGAGTTAATACATAGGTAATGCTCAACAATACCTCATGCTGACTGTATAAAATGGCAGTATTAAGCAGGGAAAATCTTTGTGTTAAGGTGATAGATTATTATTAACTTTACATTTCTCCAAACTTGTTATATTGTCTTTTCTAAAAAAAAAAAAAAAAAAAAAAGGCAAAAACAGCTCTTGGAAAACCTAAAGTGGTTTCAATTATATTTATATTTTGGCTGTTCTTTCTGTTAAACCTTAGTAGCACCTGCATATGTTTCTTTGTTTTTGTAAATTAAAGTTAGCTGAAAATAGCAATGAATTAAGAGAGAATGTTACCCTTTGCTTCTTTAACGAAAAGGTAGAAGAGAGTTCTTCTTGACCATTGCTTTCTTAAGGAGGGAAATGGAAACGGTGTCTGAGGTGGCTTTTTTAAACAAAATCACTAAGGGCGCCTGTCATTAAAGAATGAAAATTGGATTCGGTCTTCTTGGAAACACTTGCTTTTGAATCATTTGCAGTGTGGCCTCTGGACTAAGGCTATGCAATTGAAACCAAATATTATGAAGACAGGATTTATTGATTTTGTTTTTAGAGACATGATATGAGTTCAGTTTTTCATGAGCTGTTGCAAGTGAGGTATGAGAAAGTACATGCACTAGTCTCCTTAGAGGTGAAAAGGCGTCAGAATTAACCCAGCTCTGGACACTTCCTGGGTCTTAGCGTCTGAAGGAAGGGCTTTTGTTCCCTCCTGCACCCCACCCCACCCCCAGGCCTCTAAGTCTGTATGGTAGGCAGGCCCGGATAAACACACTCACTCTCTATTCCGGAAGGGGTCGTGGGGAGCTCTTTCAACATAACCTCTCGTTTTCAGGATTGTTCTTTCTTGGGTGGTGGCTGCGGCAGCTTTCATTCTGTATAATATGGCAACATAAAACAAAACAGTCACCAGCAGGCCCAAATGACCAGAAATTGCTGAACAAAGCAGGCCGCAGCTCCAGATGGAGAGTAATGAAAAACAGACCGCAGTTCATTCAGCCACTCAAACACCAGGACCCAGTAAGAGCTATTGTACAAGTCACAGAGATTTGCACTGCTTTGTTTTTGTTGTTTTGTTTTTCCCCATGTGTTTTCCTCCTGGGTCCAGTGTATTTGCTAATTTTAAAAAGTCAGGGGAAATGAAATGAAAGAAGCCATTGAAAACAAGGTGTAAATCTTCGATGAATTGACTTGTCTCTGCCTTTTCCTGCTTTTTAAGTTTGGCTTCCTCTGTACCACCTCCCACCCCCGCCAGCCATTTTTTTCTGACAGGCTATGAGTTTAGAGCAGAGGGAATGAGTAATGGATATTCCATAGAAAGTTTCCATGCTTAACAGCCAAAGGATATAAGAGCCATTAGAGTGTGCCAAGCATACCGACTTCTAAGATCTTGAAATACTCCCTTCTTGCCTTTGTTGTCACAGGCTGCTTGAATTATATTTATGGAAGATTATGTTGCCCTTACCATTTCATTGGACCCCTAAAATCAAAGTTGAAGACAAGGATCCAAAAGTTCTGAGATCATCCATGAAGGGTGTCATTAATTCTTTATTAAATGAAACCATAAATTGTTATTCTTCTCTAAGAGAAATAATTCTGCATACTAGATTCATTTTTATAGAGAGGGATAGAACCCACCTAGATTGCTTCATGGAGGGGTGTGAATGAATCCATTTAGCAGTTCTAGATTCATGGCCCTGTTATATGCTTTTTTAAAGTATTTCTGGGTAACTAAGTAGGAGGCGGTACACTTAGACAAATTTGGAATTAATCCATTTTATTTATTATTTAATTTTCTCCTTTAGTCACTAACCGGGAGTACTTAAATAGCAAGTGAGGAAAGTGTGGATTTCTGTATTAAATCCCATGAACCTGGAGGGAGGGATGGATACTCTAGTTTGTCATATTTTTCTGTAGTCTTTGCAGGGTATGCAGTAGCCCCTACCTACAGACCAATCCTAGTAAGTGACACTGACATGTACCCGGGCAGAACGTGTGTGTAAGTAGAACCATTTGGTTTCCAGAAAATAGCATACCTATCCGGGCCTAGTCCACAAGGAAACTAAACAAGTAAAGGAAGAAACTAAACACCATGAAAAGCCTCTTTTCAATACCTGTTATTTCCCCAAATCAGTGAAAACTAAAATAAATATTCTGTGAAATTTATGAGTCTGAGGAATTACATTTTGAGAGGAATAGGCTCCTCCCCCAGCTGGGCTCACAGCCTCTAGTGCAAGGAGCCCAAGATGCAATGAGACTTGAAAAACACATTTATTTAATTTTCAAATACTGGAATTAGGTTACCAAAAAGAAAAGATGAAAACAGTTCTGTTTAGACAACTAAATTTCCCATTTCCCTTTGCGGTATGAAGTGTGTGATTTTTCCCTGAACTTCTTTTGCGAATTTTTCTGTAATCTGGTATAGTATTAATTTTGCAGCTAGGCACAGGTGATCAATATATAAACATATATTTGCTTCCTTTGGTATTGATACTGAGTTTTGTTTTCATTTCAGAAACAGTTCGTTTGCGTAGGAACTTTGGTAACTTCAGTCAGAATTGTCCTGTAGGTACCTTTTACATGAAATTTTCATCCTGGGCCTCTTTTGAGAAAACTCCAGTGTTTATAGTCTTATAGCCAGAGTTAGGAAAGAACACTTACTTTGAAGGTAAATGGTCGCCATGTGTTGTCTCCAACTCAGCCATACAACTGCAGCTAAAGACACTTCTCCTGTCAAAGATGATCCTTTCGAAACTGTTTTTCTCAGTTCAGTATATTCAGTATTTTAGAGGGTTCTTTTATGAAGGTGATGATGATGCAATGGTGCTGAGTTAACTTTGAGAAGACTTTGAGATAAATGTAAAACAAAATATCTACTCATGTTCTGGGAGTCATACAACTGCACATTTTTCTTCAAGAGTGTCTTATAGCTCTATATTTACTCAGCATTTGCTTGTAATCACTGTGAATATACACATTAGGCAAAAGTAAAACTCTCCACCAACATTAAATTTAATAGGTAACAGTGCTTTTTTTTTTTAAGGTTTTTTTTTTTTTTTTTTTTGGACCATTTTTTTAGTTTTTTGTTTTTTTTTTTTTTAAGGTTTTTTTTTTTTTTTGATGTGGGCCATTTTTAAAGTCTTTATTGAATTTGTTACAATATTGCTTTTGCTTTATGTTTTAGTTTTTTGGCTGCGATGCATGTGGGCTCTTAGCTCCCCAACCGGGGATTGAACCTGCACCCCCTGCATTGGAAGGTGAAGTCTTAACCACTGGACTGCCAGGGAAGTCCCAACATTGCTGTTTTAAAGCATAAATGTATATTTGACATCATTTAATACTATAACCTATCTCCCTAGCTCTTTTGCGTGTGAAGAGATTATTTTATTGGAAAAAAATATAAATAATTTGTGTGGAGTTTAAAATCATTTAAAAATAAAATGGTAGCCTAAATGTGAAAAGAATTTGAAAAAGAGGGGACTTCCCTGGCAGTCCAGTGGTTAAGACTTTGCCTTCCAATGCAGGGGGTGTGGGTTTGATCCCTGGTCAGGGAACTAAGATCCCACATGCCTCATGGCCAAAAAAACCAAAACATAGAACAGAAGAAATGTTGTAACAAATTCAATAAAGACTTTAAAAATGGTCCACATCCCAAAAAATCTAAAGAAAAAGAATTTGAAAAAGAATAGATACATGTATATGTATAACTGAATCACTTTGCTGTACACCTGAAACTAACACAGCATTGTTAATCAACTATACTTCAATATAAAATAAAAATTAAAAAATAAAATGGTAGAGTTATGTTGCTCTCAGCCATAATCTGAATGTGACTTTTGCTAACGCATGTCTTCTAACTTCACAGAAATCCTTTTGTCCAGATATCCTGTTTGCTCTCCTGCTCCTGTCCTTCAACTCCCCATGTTTAGAGTTTGTTAAAATATATATAAAATGCTCACTCTCCTAAACTCCGCTAGTCTGTTAATGATTTCTTCCAGAATTCACCTTCCCAAGAAGCCCTGAGTAGACTCTCCTCATCCTATTTATACATTTTACAACACCACCTCCTCTGAGCGTCATCTGGGAGCAAAGATCTTACACCCCCTTATCTCTTGGGCTTTTGTGATTAGTGTGTGTCTTCATCTAGATTATAAACTCCTCAGGCTTCTCATGGACCTTATTTTCTACTGTCAAAGTGTTGAGGAAACAGGACGGCTCAGAGGGGTCTTAGATTCCACGGGCTTTATCTTTCTCTCTGGGAGCCTTTGATGTCACATCAGTAGAAAGAACAAACATGGCTGGGTATATGTTCCAAAGGCCTGTAAAACCACCGAGGGTACCAGAGACATAGTATACATACATTTTCCAGTTATTCTTTAAAGGTAAGCACTTATAACTGAGAATATTTATTAGTGTGTAATTATCCCTTTGACTTGTTTGAAGTTATCTATCTTCATTCATCAATGATTTCATAAATATATGGGAAATCCAATATAGTAATATTTCTTTTAAATAATATATGAACTGTAATGACATAGAATGGATAAATATTATATTGGTGTGTGTCCAGCTTACTAAAATTCATGTAAACTTGCAACACCATGTAAATACATATCCTTTCAAATATAGGACTTGAAAAAAATATAGATTTTTTTCCCCCAAAATAACCCTCTTAGTCCTTCAAGGAGTTTTCAGATGAAGTCTACACTGAGACAATTTCTAAGTAATAATCTTAGTTTTCTTGGACAAGTTACATAATGTCTCTAAGCATCTGTTTCCTTAACTGTCAAATGAGGTTATTTATACCTACAATGAAAAAAGTATTTTCAGAATTACACGGAACCCTGTTTGTAATGTGTCTGGCACGTCTGTCAGGTAAATTTTTCTGTGGTCTTGCACTTGGATTTCTTCTTGTAGGAACCATCTTGTCTAGAGCACCATTATATCTTATACAATTTAATGCAGTTATGAGTACTTTTGAAGTGTTCAAGGAATGTGTATTTCATGAATTGACATGTGTTTATTGAGACTGGCTTTGTTTTTTAATTTAATTTTATTTATTTACTTATTTAATTGAAGTATAGTTGATTTACAATGTTGTATTAATTTCTGCTGTACAGCAAAATGACTCAGTTATACACATAT